ACTGGAAAAGGTGAAACACACACTCTCCCCAGAGCCTCCTGGAAGAATGCAGGCCTGGCAACACCTTGATTTTATGACTTCCGGCTTCCAGAGCTGTGAGTTGGTAGATTTTATTTTAAGCCATTGCGTTTGTGGAACTTGTTACAGCAGCAGCAGAAAACTTATAAAAGAATATTCTTCTTCACAGGAAAAACAATGGTCAACTCATCTTTTAAAAAATTGTTATCATTATTTTTGAAATTGAGGTGTACTTGATTTACAATATATATGTTTCTGGTGTATAACAGTGATTCACGATTTTTAAAGGTTACACTCCGTTTATAGTTATTAGGAAACACTGGGTTTACTCCCCGTGCTGTAAAATATAGCCTTGCTCTCATCTGTTTTATACCTAGTAGTTTGTATCTCTTAATCCTCTGTACCTGTGTAACCCTCCCCCGTCCCTCTCCTGGCTGCTAAGCACTAGTTTTTTTATATATGTTTCTTTTTTGTTATATTCACTAGTTTGTTATATTTTTTAGATTCCAAATGTAAGTGATATACAGTATGGGCTTTCTCTGATTTATTTCACCAAGCATAAAACCCTCCAAGTCCATCTATGTTGATGGAGATGGAAAAATGTCATTCTTTTTTATGACAGAGTAGTATTCCATCACACACACACACACACACACACACACACATGCATATTACATATATACACACACAACACATCTTTATCCATGCATCTGTTGCCGGACACTTACGTTGCTTCCATCTCAGCTGTTGTAAATAACTCTGTGAACGTTGGCCTACGTGTATCTCTCAAACGCGTGTTTCCTTTTCTTCGGGGAACCGTCCGCGCTGGAGTTGCTGTGTCTTGTGGTTCTGCCTTTGGTTCTTGAGGACCTCCGTGCTGTTCCCGGTCGCTGTGCCAACCTCCGTTCCCGCCAGCGGTGCTCGAGGATTCCCTTTTCTCCACTTTCTGGCCAGCGTGTGTCGCTTGTGGTCTTTTCGAAGACGGCCATTTCGACAGACGTGAGATGCTGGTCTGTTCCGGGGGCTGGGTCCGGAGGCTGGTGTCGGGCCGTCCGTCCGTCTGTCTGTGGGGCTGAAAGAGCTCCCACACTGGCTGGCCTTTGCCGGGCCCTCTGCCGGGCGAGGCCGGCCCTGAGGCCAGAGCAGCCGCCCGGGGGCACGCGCGGGGCCTGGGGCTGGTGGAGGGGGCACAGTCCCGGGGCGCCAGGTCCCCTGCCGTGCGCTGTGTGCTCGTGTGGGGGGCCAGGACTGGGCCCCGGGGCAGCTGTGGGCTCGGGGGTCTTAGGCTGGCCGGCAGCCAGTCTAAGGTCCCCTGGAGAAGGGCATGGCTACCCACTCCAGTACTCTCGCAGGAGCGTCCCATGGACAGAGGAGCCTGGTGGTCGCAGAGTCGGACAGGACTCAGCGACTAAACAACAGTCTGCAGGTCAGTGGGGCTGCGTCCCTGCCCAGCTGGCCGTTTGGTGCCTACGGGCTTGTGGGCAGGGGCCGAGCTGGGTCCTGAGGCTAGTAAGCTAGAAACAGACAGATAAAGTCGCTCAGTCGTATCCAACTCTTTGTGACTGTGTGGACTGTAGCCCACCAGGCTCCTCGGTCCATGGGCTTCCCCGGGCATTAATACTGGAGCGGATTGCCATGACCGCCTCCAAATAAGCTTGAGGCCGGATTCCAAAAGGGTGCTGGCCAGCACCAGTGCCCACGTGGTAGAACAAGCTCCCCACGTGCTGCGGCTGATGCCTGAGTCCCCAGGGCAGGCTCCAGCCGCCCCCTGCCTCTCCAGGAGTCTCTCCAGACTGGCAGGAACGTCCAACCTAGACTTCATTCAGATTGCTGCTTCCGCCCTAGGTTCTAGAATATGAGATTTTGTATGAGCCCTTTAAGAATGGGGTTCTATTTAGGACTGAATTTGAGACTCCTGAGAGCCAGCTATGCTGGCCTTCAAAGCACAGACATTCTGGGCGTCCAGACGTGGAAGGTCTCACCCAGAGCAGGGGAACATCTGTCGGAGCAGCCGCTCAAGGTTCCTGTGTTCCATCCCCTCTGGGCAGTCGGCGCAGGCCCCAGGGGGCCCCAGAAGGGAGATGGTGGCAAATGCAGGGGCGGAGAGCAGAGGGACCTATTTGGGGAGAAGCAGTGAAGATGCTGAGGATGCTTGGGCGAGCCTGGCGAGAGATGAATTGGGAGGAAAGACGCAACGGGGCCTGTACCTTTTCTGGTTGGCAAGCGGAAACTCAGTTTGGCTTGTTTTTTAAAGAAGGGAGTGACATGGTCTGTTGATCTGTTTTACAGTAACAGTAGCGGCCTGTGAGTCTTTCTCAAACAACCTGTTTAACTTCTTACAGCCCTGCAATGAGGGCTCTGTAACTACTCGATTCAGCACATGGAAAGCAGGAGGAAGGTTATAGTAACCAGCTTAACGTCACAGCTCATAAGGATCAAGTCTGAGCAACTGGGCTCAAAACACTCATCAATGACTCTGCAAATCAGAGAATGAGCTGTGGGCGAAGCAGAGGGAAAGAGAAATTAATATCCTGATCTGGGACTAAGCCAGCATTTCCCAGACTTACCATCCACTTCACCTTTACAGAACCTTGGCCATCTGAGAACCACTTTTAATGTTTCTTTAAACCAGCTCATCTCTTTAAATCTTACAGGGAATCCTGAGGATAACAACAACAGAATACCCTAAAACCGATACAGTCAGGATGGGCCATGGCCTCAGAGACAAGAGCTGTATCCAGAGTTGGAAGGTAGGGGTCAGAGCAGGGCAGGGGGTCTGGGGTGGGGCCCCAAGTGTGGAGACGCAGCAGGAAGGCAGCAGGCAAGCTCCAGCCAAGGAGGGAAACGGGAGCCGACATGGGCAAGGGGCGCGGGCTCCGTGGTGGTGAGGCTGGGGCTGGGGGGAGGAGCCCCAGACAGGACGGAGGGGGCACGTGTGAGTGACGGGAGACGGGACACGCGGCGGGCGCCAGGAAAGAGGGGACAGGGTGAAAGAGGGCTGCAGGATGCGGGGCGGGGGCTGTTGAAAGTGAAGGGAAAGGCGCTCAGTCGTGTCTCTTTGTGACCCCATGGACTACACAGTCCATGGAATTCTCCAGGCCAGAATCCTGGAGAGGGTTGCCATGCCCTCCTCCAGGGGATCTTCCCAACCCAGGGATCGAACCCAGGTCTCCCTCATTGCAGGGGGACTCTTTACCAGCTGAGCCACAAGGGAAGCCCATGTACATACTTTGCATAACATATATTTATGCTGTAAGTATTTCAAAGAATGGCTTTTACATAATTCTTTATTTCAATATATATCTTTTTAATAGTAAATTATGCAAATGCAGTCTTTTAGGCTTACAATATTGAAATTTATTCTCTACACGATTTAGAAAATGGCTAATTTCTTGGATAAGACATAGCATATTTAGAAGTCCGAAAGCCAAGTAAATCCCTTATTTCAGAAGTTTGACAGATCTTGGCACAGTTTAGATTTTCCACAGTTGCCGGATCTGTACTTTGCGTCTTTTGTTGTTGGGGGTAAGATAAGCACTCCACAGGTGAGAGCAGAGGGTTGGTAGGGCCAAGGGAAGATGGGGGCAGGGTGACCTGGGGCCTAGGACGCTGGGTACCCAGCCCGACTGTATTGCAGGCCGTCCCTGAGCCTGGGTTCTCAAGTTTCCCATACTGGAGACTGTCATCCACCCACCACGAGAAACCAGGTCTAATACCTCCAGTGATACGCACCACCTTTTGGGAAACACTCATGTGGGCAGAAAAATGCTAAAAGCCTACATTAAAGAATGAGATACTTGGAGGAAATTGCTAAATTTCTAGAACAACATTTGGGTTATCACCCATATTCTGATTCATCTTTTTATCCTCCATGGTGCCCAGGCATGAAACCGTTCTGTAACAGTTACTCAAATATTTCCATGGCTGTGAGTGGTTGAAAAGACCTAAATAGAGGAGTCTCCTGAGACGTATCTGAATTCAGTTAAGGATCCCGTTCATGAAGTGTACAGACGAGGAGGTTATCAGACGGGGCCTGGTAGGACGTTCATCTGCACAAGAAGGGTTGGCGTTTCAGACAGTCAATAGGCCATCCATGCTCACTGATGACCAGAAAGGCCTTGAGGCTTTAGAAACTGTAGGAGAGTGAGAGGAAAGAAATTAAAGAGACTGTTGTTCAGTCGCCCAGTCGTGTCTGACTCTCTTGTGACCCCGTGGACTGTAGCCCGCCAGGCTCCTCTGTCCACAGGGTTCTCCAGGCACGAATGCTGGAGTGGGCTGCCACTTCCTCCTCCAGGGGACCTGCCCGACCCAGGGGTGGAACCCAGGTCTCCTGCATTGCAGGCGGATTCTCTACCACCTGAGCCAGCAGGGAAGCCCCAAGATGACAGCAGACAACGCTTCATGTTTTAGGAGCTACTCCAGATTTTCGACCTTTCCCCCAGTGCCTGCAGTCACTTATGTCTTGGTAAAATCTGTTCCCCTGGAAAGGGACTTCAGAAACTGTGGTCCACAGACCCCAAGGGGAGCTGGGTGATTCTTTCTCGCATTCACACCCTTGTATCCTGCCTCTTAATGTGGGCAGGACCTGTGACTTGTTTTAACCAAAAGAATATGGCAAAGGTGATGGAAGTCACTCCTGTGACGCACCGCATCATGACCGTTTTCTGAGACTCCGTCATTCTCCCGTTAGCCTCAGAGAAGCAGGCGGCCATGCTGTGAGCGGTCTGCAGAGAGGGCCACGCAGCAGGGAACGGTGGACAGCCTCCAGTGGGCACGGCCAACAGGAAACCGAAGCCTTCAAACCGAAAGCTACAAGGAAAGACATCCTGCCAACCACCTGACAAAGCCTGGAGGCAGAAGTTACCCCCGTGGCCCCACCGAGCCCTGGCTTGTAGATGTGTGAGGCCAAAAGCAGAGAGGACCCGCCTAAGCTGTGCCTGGACTCTGGATCCACAGAAACTTCGATAAATAATACATGTGTGTTGTTTTAAGCTGCTAAATTTATAGTAATTTATTATACAACATAGAAGACAAATACAGAGCTCTTAACATATAAAAGTAAAAAAAGTAAACGGAATAGTGAATGACTGGCCATCTGGGATGTTTATTAGTGCAGGTCAGACAGCCAAGGTCAGTCCTCGGCGCTCATTTCCATGATCCTCAGGGCTGGTCCTTCCAGCTCCTGCCTGTCTCGGGCTCCGCACAGCTGCGCAGAAGGCACGAGCTCCGTGCTGAGGCAGCACGGCTCCGTGGGCGTCTCGGCCTTCTCAGCGTCGCTGTCGCCTTCGATGACGCTCACGGAGGTCTCCTGGTCTAGTAAACTGTCTGACATGCTTGCATTTTTCTCATCCCAGGCTGAAGTTCCAAGATTTGTTTCCTCATTCACCTGTTGAATGATAACCCCTTCTGAATACTTTGATTTATAGATCGGGAGAAAAAATTCATTCGAAGAGACGATCTCATTCTCTTCCTTCGGTATAGTCAATAACATATTCAAAGCTTTTTGGTATTCCTGGCGTTCCTGTTGAATGATTAAATCTTGTTCACTTTTATATTCATTTTGTTCTGAATTCTCAGCCTTTTCAACATCACGTAAATGCAACATATCCATGACGTCTAGCTTTACTGAGTTTTCCTTGGACGTGCAGCCTAAGTCCACCTTTAAGACATGTAGCAGCTGGCGCATTTTTTCCTGGAATTAAAAAAATACAAGAATAATTATATTAATTAGGCTAGTAAAGCTGAATTCTTTTTGCTGCAGTGCTGCTCACCTCAGTGGGATTAATACTAGTTCTTCCTCATTCTGCCTGTATCTCCCCTTTCCCCACATACACAAAAAGTGCAAGAGAAAAAAAGTGCCTGCTTTTAATGCATTCTCTGAGAGTAAGGTAAAACTTGAAAATTCTTTCTGTATTAGAATTTTTCTTATGAAGTTAAGACAAACCTCCTCCAAATGATGTTTATTTTGTTTTATATGTCTCTCAAACAGTTGTTCCAGAAACCTACAAATGACAAATAAAAATGTTAATGGTCTCAAAATCAGAAAACCAACTTAATACAGAGAGTCATGCAATAACTACAGTACCAAAGGTTGGAAAATCTGTTTTAGATTTCCTTTTTTCTTTCCAAAGATACACACTATAATCCTTCTCTGTTCTATCAAGCTCTCCAAGTGAAAGCTAGTATGACTCCTCCTATGTTTAGGTTATGTTAACAGATGCCAGTGTCAGCGTCTCTCCCGAGAGACTGCACACCACTTATATTTCTGTGGAATAAACTATTTCACATAAGGCTGTAGCCCGCCCCCACTAAAGAGCTCTGTGTCTTTTTTCTCACAAACACCGAAAGCCTTCCCACCTCCCCTCCTGTCACATACACCCACCCTCCAAAAGCAAACTCGGAAGAAAACTCTTGTAAAGTGTTACTTTAAATGTTTCCCAAATTATACTTGAAAAGATATTCCACTCCCGGTAAATCGACATAATAAGTTAAAGTTATCACTTACTAAGTACCACGAAGTAATAGGCATTTGTGCTGGACACGCAATAATCATTCTATCTCTAACCATGACCAATGCATGTCCTACTCTCTGCGACCCCACGGACCGTAGCCCACCAGGCTCCTCTGTCCACGGGATTCTCCGGGCAAGAAGACTGGAGTGGGTTGCCATGCCCTCCTCCAGGGGGTCTTGCTAACCCAGGGATAGAACCCTTGTGTCTTGTGTCTCCTGCATTGGCAAGTGGGTTCTTAACCACGAGCGCCACCTGGGAAGCCAGTACTGGCAGAGAAAGGTATTAGAAAACCCGTAAAGATGAGAGAACAGAATGTCTAAGATGATGATTTCCTCTCCCCCCGAGGTCACAAGCCATTAAGAGAATTTAACCCAGATGTATCTGGCTTCAGGTACCTTCTTTCAACTATATCAGCCTTGTCTAGCTATCACAGGAGTATATCAATTGGTTTTTTTGAAAACTACTCATTTGTCACCATTTGTTACTATCAATGAAGTTATGTGACAATCTTAGATTTAATTGTTCTGAATTATTTTGAAATTTTTTAAAAGCCCAAGAAATCTGTATTCTGTATTTTACAACTATCATTGATGTTTACTGGGTACTTTCCTACGCATACATATTTCTTTATGAAAACTGGGATTACATAATACTGTTTTGATATCTATACTGTTTTCTAATCAGTTGTATTATTTTGAACATCTTTATATATCAATAAATTAACTTCTGCAGCATCATTTAAAATATCTGAACAGACCTTACTATTATAAACATTCTAAGATTTATTCAACTGAACCTTTACTATTCAATATGCAGGTTGATTCCATTTTATTGTGCCACTATAAAAATTGTCACAGTAAAAAGCCTTATTATTTAAATGAGAAATTTGAGTTTTAATTTAAGAGCATAAATAGGTATTTTTCATGTCAACTTTGTTTGGCTTCTTTTATTTTTTTGATTTATGGTTGGAGGCAGTGTTTTTGTTCTGGTGGTGGTAAAAAAACAAAACTATATAACATAAAATTTACCATCTTAACCAATTTAAAAATTTACAGTTCAGTAGTAGTATGTATTCACGTTGTTAAATAGAAACAACTTATTAAAAATGTCTGCACTTGACATACTATTATGACAGGGAAAGCACGTGGCATATATACAGGAGCGTCTTCTGATACATATCAGAAAGTTTTATATAAATGAATTTCAGCTAAATAAAGTTCAAGCTGGTTCAGGACAACAGGTTCCTTAAGATAATAGTACCAAGATGGTTTTACAAACTTCCTCTTTCACTCGCTGTGTGCAAACCTAGTCTTAAATTTGTCCTCACTGTTACTAGTAACAGTCATAACAAAAAAAGCCTGCTTCTGATCTTCATGACAGTTTCAGTTAGTAAAAAGAGATGATGGAATTTTGTAAAGCAGCAGCAAAAATTTAGTGTGCTAGCCTATTATAAACTAAAAGATATAGTATTTTTGTCTTTTCTCTGTTGGGATTTTTACATGTATGATAATGTCATCTATGAATAAAAACAGTTTTATGGTTTTCTTTCAAATGTGGATACCATTTCTTTTTGTGATAACTTTTTAAAAACTGAGCTATAGTTGACCTACAACATTTTATTAAGGAATACAACAATGATTTGTTATTTGTATATACTGCAAAATAATCACAGTAAGTCTAGTGACCGTCTATCACCATTACATGGTTAGAGAATAATGTTTTTTCTTGTAATGAGAACTTTTAAGATCTATTCTTCGAGCAGCTTTCAAATATACAATGTGGTGTGGTTAACGACAGCTGTCAATGCTGCACATTATATCCCCATGATCTGATGAGTTTTTAACTGCAGGTCTGGACCTCTGACTCCCTTCGACCGTTTTGCCCCATTCCCCCATGCCCAGCACCCCACCTCTAACAATCTGCTCTTTGTATTTAAGGGATATAGAAGTACTTAGATGAATAAAATCTCTATTCTCTTCTCTATCTCCCCTGTGAGCCTGCCCTGAATTGTGCTTAGTCACTCGCTCAGTCGTGTCTGACTCTTTGAGACCCCATGGACTGTAGCCCACCAGGCTCTTCTGTCCATGGGCTTCTCCAGGCCAGAAGACTGGAGTGGGTTGCCATGCCCTCCTCCAGGGGATCTTTCCAACTCAGGGATCGAACCCAGGTCTCCCACAGTGCAGGCGGATTCTTTACCAGCTGAGCCACCAGGGATCAACTGGGAGAGCAGGAATTAAATGTTCTTTATAATTTATATCAATTATAAGAATATGGTCCCCTAAGGAAGCAATATAATTTTCATATCCTAATATGTGAAAATAAATAAAATTAACACCAAACCAAGTTTTTAATGTACAGCTCAATGACCACAGTACAATTAAAAAAATCTAACCTGTTTGAAAATAAACCAAGTTTCAAAATTTCATCTGTTACATCTTCAATGAAACTCAGATACAACAGTTCTTCTTCACTGTGAAGGCAAAGGGATATACAGCATAAAAGTTACTGCTTATTAAAAAAAAAATTACTGCTTATTTACGCTGAAAATTAGAGGATGCCTAAGTACCTATACTGGAATATCTGTACTATTACAAATGCACTTCCATCTCACATTATCAAGAGGAACATTATAAACAAATATATGTCTACTTTCTCAAATTATGCAAGGGTATTTACTAAAGATGAGAAAGTATTCCCTAATAGTAAAATTTCATAGATGTCTGCAACGCTGATCAGGCAGTAAAAAAGCGGCAGGGATTAAGTAAAACAGAAAACAACCAGGGAAACGGGCAAGAGGGTGACTTCGGGGTGACCCTGTGGGGGCACGTCATGTTCCTGTCGAGCATTTTAAATGTCCTTGGGCTCCTGACCAGGTCCGGCTACAGAGGCTCGAGTCCCTCTGTGAGGCAGAAGGGAAAGAGGAAGGTCACCCAGAGAAGTAGGAACCTCGACGACAAAATCCTCTCCTGCTCCGAGGAGAGCATCTGGTTCCAAGGTGGAGAAATTTATTGGGCAGAAAAAACTATTTTTTTTTTCTTGACAAGTTTGTAGATAAGGAAAAATATTCTAGTAGGAAAAATGTGTGTACATAAATATAGTGGTAATTTTTAATTACTTGGGTACATTTCTCTGTTATACTCTCTTATGAGTTATATACTTTAGTAGCTATTACACAAAGAGTATGGTACTAAAAAAAAAAAGTAGGGTACTATTACAAGTTTGATCTTAATTAGCTAAAAATCAGTGAATTGACAGAAAATGTAAACAGCAACTGGCCCACCAGGATCCTCTGTCCATGGCATTCTCCAGGCAGGAATCCTGGAGTGGGTTGCCATTTCCTTCTCCAGGAGATCTTCCCATCCCAGGGATCAAAACCATGTCTCCTGGGGCAGGTGGATTCTTTACCACTTAGCCATCAGGGAAGCCTAAAACTACTTTAGTTACTGACTATGTAAACATAAGGGGAAGAGTTAATCAGCATACCAAGCAGAAGATTACTGCATAAAAATTATGCCTTCAAACCAATTCACAGGCAGCAAATTTGAGAACAAATGAAACTCTATAAAAATAGACTGCTTTCCCTGAAAAAATGCAGTCCAACTAAAACAACTTTCAAACTCAGAAGTATAGTATCTGTAAAAAAAAAACTGGTGAGGTTAAAAAAGCTCAAGAATGGTATCCTGAGCTACCAAAAGGCTGCATTTCTCTAAAACTCATCTTCATTATTTTTACTTATAAAAATTATGGGTACTAATTATAAAAAATAAGCAAGTATTATTAATCTAGGGACCAATTTCCATTAGACATAAAAATGAAGTGATTAACAATTATTTCAGATATTTCTGGATAATATTATCAATAATATGAATAAGAATCATTAATAATTCTCTCAAATTTAGTGTGTACTATATGACCAAACCCCAAAGCTGGTTGTAAAGAAAAATTCATGTTCAATCTTGACTTATTTAATAAAAAATTGTGAGCCTTAATTCTTCCTTTCCACTAAGCAAAATGAGGCAGTCAAAGAGATCTTACTCAGAATACGCTTTTCTCCCTGAAGGAGGCTGCAGTGAATATTGACATACTGCCCTGGAAAGAGAAAATAAGAATATCTGAACAAAGCAATGATTGGCATACAGTAATACATTAGTAATAAACAGGTTTCAGAATTTCAAAGCACTTGTCACATTCATTATCTTTATCTAATCTTTAGGATAACCCTGTCAAGTATATTGGGAAGATATTACTGTTCTCACTGAACAAATCACCAAGGGGCAGAAAGGCTAAATAACCTGCTAAGGTCATGTGTTAGTAAGTAGCAAAGACAGATGTTTTAAACTAGTCTTCTAATTACAAATTCATAACCCTCTCAAAAATTGTACTATGAAACTTACCATGTAAAAAGGATAATGTTTGAATAAGGTTAAAATATAAATGATGTTGGAAACATTTGGAAACATTTTCCTATGGAAAAAAACTATAACCTAGTCATTATGATAAATTCTGTTATTATTCAGTTTTATCATTAGTTAATTCCAAGCTTTCTATTCACAGGTATATTCAATTATAGTACTTTACTTAAAGCTAAGCGCCAAAGAATTGATGCTTTTGAACTGTGGTGTTGGAGAAGACTCCTGAGAGTCCCTTGGACTGCAAGGAGATCCAACCAGTCCATCCTAAAGGAGATCAGTCCTGAATATTTATTGGAAGGACTGATGCTGAAGCTGAAACTCCAATACTTCGGCCACCTAATGTGAAGAACTGACTCACTGGGAAAGACCCTGATGCTGGGAAAGACTGAAGGCAGGAGAAGGGGACGACAGGATGAGACAGTTGGATGGCATCCCTGACTCGATGGACATGAATTTGAGTAAACTCCAGGAGTTGGTGATGGACAGGGAGGCCTGGCGTGCTGCAGTCCATGGGGTTGCAAAGAGTCAGACACGACTGAGCGACTGAACTGACTGACTAGATGACTTATCTCTTTCTTGAGGTCATTCTTTATATTCATTGCAGACTGGCTCAACTGATGAGAGCTAAAGCATCAGGAATTTCTAGACAGAGCAGTTAGCAATACCCCCCTTCCTCTCCCCCAACCCCCAGGAAGCCCTGGCGTAGAGCTGTCCCCAAGGAGAGGCCCAAGGGAAGACCTGGGCCCTCAGGGACTGTGCGCTTGCTTCCCGTTTGCTGTAGGATGTCGTTGATTCTTTTTTTTAAAACCATTTCCTTTTTATTTGTTTATTATCTTCCTAGTTTCTGGCTTTGCTCTAGTTGTCAGGAGTGAGGGCTGCCCCAGCGGCAGCGCGCAGGCCTCTCGCGGCGGCGGCCTCTCCCGCTGCGGAGCACGGGTCTGGGCCTGCGGGCGTCAGGAGCTGTGGCTCCGGCTCCAGAGCACAGGCTCAACGGCTCCACGCGGGCTTGGCTGCTCCCTGGCAGTAGGGTCCTCCCGGACCAGGGATAGAGCCCGTGTCTCCTGCACTGGCAGGCAGATTCTTTACCACTGCTCCATGAGGGAAGCCTCTAGGAGGTCTCAGTCTTGATCTCTGAGTCCTTTTTTCCCTTCTGCCACCTTACCTCATATCCAAACTCTGACACTGGAAATGCATGTGACAGTTAAAGCTATCAGAGGCATTTTTTAGCTTCTATACGACCTAAAACCTCTCATTTTTATTCACAGGCCGTGTTCCATAATTGTTAAACATGATGAATCATTTGAAGAAACAGTGCCTCCTCTACAAAGCATATGATGAGTGTTCAAATCACAAATGATGAGTCCTCAAGTGGTAAGGTCCTCCAGTACTATCTATGCCGTGTCAACTGGTGAGCACCGTTGCTGCAGGATCTGTCTTGGGGAAAATTCTTTCTCCAGTGAACAGTGCTGGCAAACAGTACAAAAGCCAGGGTCCCCTTTCCCTTTAGTGACGAATCAGCAAAATGAATTCATCTCAACTTTTATAGTGACTACCTACTTTGTAATATTTCCTTAGTAAAACTGAACTGCATAATTCCAAACTAGACTGGAGTGCATGCAGATGAACCAGCACTCATGCTGCTCGAAGCCTGTTACACAGGAAAGTGGTTAGATATAAAGCGCCGAAATACCTTGATGAGGAACACTGGAGGGCGCCGTCTTTAATCCTGTCCCACGATAACTCACGCCCTTGTAAAGGTAAAGGGGTTATTCCTCCTTTGGTTCCACATGACACACAGCCAGATGCCTGGAGATGCAATGAGAGGAATGAATCTTTATTTTGCTTCCAACATACGTTATGATAGAAGAGCTAAAGCAAAGCATCAAATTTCCAAAAATATTTGATGAAAGAGAGTGGAGATACCCAGCAGAAAAAAGTAACTGATGCCTTTAAGACAAAGGATATTTTAGAATTCATTTTTCATAAAATCAAGACTTTTTCTTAAATTTATTTAAAGATAAAACAATTTCTTATACTTTAATGAGGAATATTTTAAATGGTATTAAATACCATATATATACACATAAAGAGAAAATGAAATAAATCTGCAAGTTTTACATTAACTTGAGAGTAAATATCCTATTATTCAGAAACTCAAAATAGCCCATCTGTTTCAAATGTCATCCAACATGTAAAAGCAGCGGCAGCTCTGGCACTCTGAACAATATTAACAAACTTCTACTTTCACGGAACCCTGACTAGGGGCCACAGACTGTGCCAAGCACGTCATCCTCAGATGTGACCTTCGTAACACTAACTATGTGTAGTGCCTGACAGTGTTAGAAGTGCTTTTGAATGTTGGTCTATCTACTGCAGCCTATGCTCAAGTAGATGCTGGTGGTATTGATTATAGAGTAAGGGAGCATGCCATTTTCTTACGGGGTTACAGATAAACCTTTGGAGTACAAAGTCATAAAAATGAACTTCTGCTTTAGTCTATTTAGTTATCTATGGAGGTAACCCTCTTCCTAGGTCTCAAGCTAGCATAGCCACATTTACTGAGTCCAGGTCAGACTAGGTATTTTACCTGCAACACTTACTCCTTCCAATGATCCTGAACATTAACAGTACAATTTGCTCTATGTGGTAACTCAGCTCTCAGAGGAACTGATCTGTCCTTGGGCCTTAAGTGGCAGAACCCTATGTCACACAGCTATTAATGGCTGAGATGCAAACCCACAATCCTCTACCCACTTTCAGAAGGAAGGAGAAAAGCTGAGTGCGCTTCTATTTTATTCTTCTATCCCTGAGTCTGTTTGAGATTTTAATAAACAAAGCATTTTCACAAACAATAACTTGAAAATTAGGATACAAGTGTATGATTAACAAGTACATGATTAATAAAAAGTTTATCTCAAAGTCAGACTTAAAGCTGTAACGGTTTAAAAGAAATGACTGCTAAATATTCAAAATACAAACACTAAAAAAGATTTTTATGATCTAGAAAAAAGAGCAAGCACAGGAGAGTAACATCCATCTATTTTTATACATTATCAGTGGCAATTCTTCAAAAAAAAAAAAAAAGAAAGAAAATAGGCATAGAAACTAAACTTTTGCACAATTTTTTCTGGCTCCTTTAGTGATTTGAGTCTGCATCTTTGAGAAGAATTTAAGGTATTAAGAAAGAAAAAAGAATTTAAGATATTTTATTCATCCATCCATTCAGCCAGCCAACCAACCATCTAGAAAACACATTAACAACAAATGACTTACCAGATAGGGCAGGATCCATCTGGCCACTCATGGAGAGCTATAGCCATTTGTAAATAGGCAATACTTCTATATACTGGTCATACCACATGCAAAAAGTGTCACCACAGTGACACAAAGTGTCTTCACAGTCCAAAGAGCTACATATATTCAATTAAGGCAGCTATAATTCTAACGTGTAACACAAAGAGGTCTCATGTTTATTACCTGTCTTATGTTCATTTCTGAATCTGTGGCATTCTTGATATCAACTGTCTCAAAATCAGATTTAAAGCTGTAATATTTTAAAAGAAATTATTGTTAAACCTTCAAGATACAAACAATGTGAAAACAAGCTTTACTATCTAGGGAAAAAAAAAACTTGAAACATGAGATTTCTAATGATACAACTGGGAAATAGATACGGTTTGGATCACATATGCCTCTTGCTCCTTTTTTCAAATAGCAGCTAGATTTCACTTGGATAGAAGGGAGCTAGGGAAATGGAAACTATTATCTTGAAAAACCTGTCAAAAACATAATCAGAAAAGTATGTTATTGGGTTGGCCAAAAAGTTCATTCAGGTTTTTCTCTAAGATGGTATGGAAAACTTGAACGAAACTTTTGGCCAACCCAATATATTAGCTACCCAATATAGTAGATTGGTACAAAAGTAATTTCAGTTTTTGCATTGTTGAGATTTGCCATTTGATACTGGAATACATTCTTAAATAAATGTGGTCATGTTACACATCCTTTTAGTGTACATACTTTGCTTTATGTTTTTTTGCCTGTGACTTTTACTTGCTATTTTATATGTACACTATGGAAGTGCTGTTGGACAAAAAAGCAAATTTGAGTGATTTTTCTTATTCAAGTTCAAAAAGGGTTGTAAAGCAATGGAGATAGCTCACAACATCAACAGCGCACTTCGCCCAGGAACTGATAGCGCGTGTGATAGCGCAGTGGCGCTTCAGGAAGTTCTGCAAAGGAGACAGAGCCTCGGGGATGAGGGGTGCAGTGGCAGCCGTCAGAAGCTGACAGTGTCAACTAGGAGCCGTCACTGAAGCTGGTTCTCTTACAGCTGCTCGAGCAGCTGCCGAAGGCCTCAGTGTCGACCATCCTATGGCTGTTCAGCATGTGAAGCAAATTAGAAAGGTGAAAAAGCTTGGTAAGTGGGTGCGTCACAAGCTGACTGCAAATCAAAAACATCATTTTGCCACGTCGTCGTCTCTTATTCTACACAACAACAGTGAGCCATTTCTCAATCGGACTGTGACGTGCAACGAAAAGTGGATTTTATATAACCACCAGAGATGACCAGCTCAGTGGTTGGGCAGAGAAGAAGCTCCAAAGCATTTCCCAAAGCCAAATTTGCACCAAAAAAACCATCATGGTCACCGTCTGGGGGTCTGCTGCTGGTCTGAGTCCCGGCGAAAACATTACATCTAAGAAGTATGCTCAGCAAATCAACGAGCTGCACGGAAAACTGCAACACCCGCAGTTCTTCTCTGGGACAATGCCAACTGCACGCTGCACAACCAATGCTTCGAAAGTTGAATGAACTGGGCCACAAAGTTCTGCCTCAGTCGCCATGTCCATCTGACCTCTTGCCAACTGACTACCACTTCTTCAAGCAACCTAACAACTTTTTGCAAGGAAAAATCTTCCACAGCCAGCAGGAGGCAGAAAATGTGTTCCAAGAAGTCACTGAATCCTGAGGCATGGATTTTTAGGCTATAGGAATAAACAAACTTATTTCTCATTGGCAAAAATGTGTTGATTGCAACGGTTTCTATTTTGATCTATAAAGATGTGTGTGAGCCTAGTTATGATGATTTAAAATTCAAGGTCTGAAACCACAATTACTTTGGCAGCAACCTAACATTTGCTTTCATCATCTCCTCTTCACTTGAAAATTCTACCATTAGATTTAATTTCTTAATTCTTTAAATGTATACAGACTGATCTTGCTATATTTCTTATATGTACCCAGACAAAAAGTTACTAGTCATAAATTGTTTTTTACTTTTAAAAATAATTAAAACCTAGTACCAAATAAGTATTCATTTATATAACACTAGGAAAAACAATCACAATCTGCTGACACTCAATACTTAACAAGATTTGCTTCTTTCTTTAATCATCTGGCAACTTTTAATGAATATTCATTGTGTGCCAGGTACTACTGTATATGAAAATATTACCGAGGCAAATTACATTTAATTTCCCGAAATTATCCCAATTATCTACATTACACCTGAGGACCTGCTGCCGAGTGCCGGCAGGCAAGGGACACAGGGGTAGTTAGACAACGGCTTTTCCTCCCCTCACGTAGTCCAGTTTTGCCATTTCTAACATAAATCAATGAATATATTTACACAAATGCTGTTTGATGACATATTTTAAGGATTCTCTGGAAGTATATTTAAAAACACACAAAAAGTTCTAGTACCACGTCTGAAACAATGAATTGAAATACGTAACATTCATGTTTATAAAGAGCGTGACAAGTTTGACAGCTATTTACCTTTTTAACAATCACTCTGAGAGTTCTAAGATTCACGCAGAAGGAAACACTACATTAACCGTGGGGCCTGGCACAGCAGGCACATGGTAAAACGTAAGGAATATTATTTAATTTCTACCACATCTTAGAGGATCTATTACAGGTTACTGTGTGATACCTGCTTAATTCAGTCTGAGTTTCAGCTTCTATCCGCCGATCGGTACAATTCTTTTTTCTTCTGGCAGGTGTGTAATATCGATACTGTGACAGGAAAGATTTGGCTTCTGTTTTTAAAGTGCGTGGGGTGAATGGCAAATGTCTGTTAGAAAAGTGTTCAGAATGTTTGTCCAAAAGGTCCCCATTGGGTGCTTTTGAAATTACTAACTGAAACTTCTGGGAACCGGGGAATGTGCCCCTGGGCCCTCTGCCGTACGAGGTTCCAGAGGACGGTTTCTTGGACCCAGAGGCAGCGTAATCCATGCTGGACATGGAGCCGCTGGAGTTCTCAGTACAATCTGTGAGGACCTTCTGAGACTTAGGTAGACTTAGTCTCTCGGAAGAAGTTACTGGTGACCGTGTAAAAGATGGAAATTCATTCACTTCTTCGATTATTAAGCCGTTTTCATTCTGTGGTTCTCCTGAAGGCTAAGAACATTTGGTTTAACAGTGATCAATCACATTTACAAATTCAGATAATTGAGGATCTCCTGATTACACATCAAAAAATGCAGAGCCTCAGGGCTATGTCCTGCAAATATAATGCCTATGTTCCTGAAAATTCGTACATGAAGTGATATTCATTTTTAATTATTTATATATAAAAATATCATTCTAAACCTAAGTAACAGCAATCATTTTTCTTTCTGAAACTGAAAAGTGGTTACCAACATTTGCGGACTCGAACTCGCGTCCTGAGGCGGCAGTCCTTCGGCCGCTCAGCCGTGTCCGACTCTCTGTGACCCCATGGACTGCAGCGCGCCTGGCTCCCCGTCCTCCATTCCAGCTCACATCCATCGGGCTGGTCCAACCGTCTCAGCTTCTGCAGCCCTCTCCTCAGTTTTACCTGAGTTTCTAAATCAACTCTGAGCACTAACGCTCTCAACCACAGCTGGAGGCAACATCTGCCCCTCCCTGCCTTGTCATCAGGGTCATCTTCAGTGCCAGCAGCTCCTCTGTGACTTAAATGCTTTGAAGGGATGAAAAGGTACTTCTCACAATGTATGGAGCTCTGGTTCAAGTAATGGATATTTTAAACACAATTAAGAAAGATTTATGCCAGAAAAAGTTCATACATGTTTCTTTCTCAACTTCCCATGAGGGGGAAAAGCTTTGAAAGGGAAGGCATTTTGGCCTGCTTTTCTTTCTTTCTGGTTTAACTTAACAAAAAAATTTTTAATTGAAGTAGAGTTGATTCACAATGTTGTGTTAATTTCTGATGTATAGTAACTGACTCGGCTATATACACATACTTTTTTATATTTTTTTCCATGAAGGTTTATCACAGGATAGTGAGTGTAGTTCCCTTCCCCGATACAGTAGACCCTTTTGTTTACTCATTCTGTATGGAACAGCTTCTATCTGCTCACCCCAAAGTCCGAGTTCATCTCCCCCCCCCACCTGCCCTCCGCCTCGGGAACCACACGTCTGTTCTTTCTATCTGTGAGTCTCGTTTCTGTTTCACAGACAGGTTCATTTGTACCATATTTTAGATTCCACGTGTAAGTGATATCTTATGGTATTCAAAATCCTAAAAGATGATGCTGTGAAAGTGCTGCACTCAATATGCCAGCAAATCTGGAAAACTCAGCAGTGGCCACAGGACTGGAAAAGGTCAGTTTTCATTCAAATCCCAAAGAAAGACAATGCCAAAGAATGTTCAAACTACCACACAGTGTTATATAAGAAGATACAATTTTCTGGGTCGTTTTGAAAAATAAATTCTTTGCAAATTACATCAGTGGAGGGGGGGAAGCTGTTTCGATGATACCACACAACAAAATTTTCAGTTTCAATGAAAGAGATAAGGGAAATATATATCTGTATTTATTTTGTTTTGATTCAAGATTGTAGCACAACCATTTAAAGAATAAAATAGTCATTAAAATAATTTGGGGGTAAGAACAATATTTAACTTAGAAAATAAATTTACCAACAATCCAGCACTTATTTGCTATGAAAAATTAGGCAACTCAGCATAACTTTTAGAGCACAGACTTGGAAGCACCCTGCTTCAGCATTTGAATCCTAGCTCTACCATCGCTAGATGTGTGACCTCAAAATCTCTTAAACACTCTGGCTGCTGCCTCTGTTTCCTCAACCATAAAATACAGAAGATGAGTACTCATTTTGCAAGTTATTATGAGGAATAAAGAGTTTAATGTTTGCAAAACACTCAGGACAGTACATAACACATAGCAAACATTGCGTAAAAAATTAATTCTTCCCCTGTAGACACAGGGGGAAGTAGAGGGTGGGACAAATTGACTTGAGTAGCACTGAAACATATGCATCACTATATGTAAAATTAGATAGACAGTGGAAATTTCTATATGATGCAGGGAGCTCAAATCTGGTGCTCTGTGGGGTGGGGTNTCCAGTACTTTGGCCACCTGATGCAAAGAGCTGACTCATTGGAAAAGACTCTGATTCTGGGAAAGATTGAAGGCAGGAGGAGAAGGGGACATCAGAGGATGAGAAGGTTGGATGGTATCACTGACTCGATGGACTTGAGTTCGAGCATGCTCTGGGAGTTGGTGAGGGACAGGGAAGCCTGGCGTGCTTCAGTCCATGGGGTTGAAAAAAGCTGGACACGACTGAACTGAACTGAACTGATGGTATTTGTCTTTCTCTTTCTAACTTACTTCTCACTCCATCTTTGTTGCTGCAAATGGCATTATTTCATTTTTTTATGGCTCAGTAGTATTACATGGTATATATGTATGCTTTAACTTTGGAAGAACTATTTCTACTGTGGATTCGTAAGGCTTAAGAGCATTGGTAACATTTTATTCTTCTACAGACAAACTGCCCAAGAACTCTTGTCTGTAATTCCAGAGGGTATGGGCACCTGTGCACCTTTAACAGCACTCTGAGACGCTTCATTAAATGGACAGGGGAAGTTACATGGAAGTTAAACTGAGGTGAAAAGGGCTAGGATTTATCCAGTTGTATCTGTCCTACAAGCTCATGAGGAGGAAAATAAGAGGAAGATACACTGAATGAGGAGGAGCAGAGCGCTTTCAATGCACAAGACACTGTTACTGCTCGTGAGCAGAAGTAAGAGGAGCAATACCTTCCGTCACGTTACTACTACGTACGGAGCACAAACCATGTGCAAGACTCTGCTCCAGTTAATTTACATACACAACTCATTTAATCGCTGCATCAACTTCTGGGTGGTGGCACAATTATTACCTCTGCTTCACAGGTGAAGAAACCGAGGTGCGGGGTCTCACAGATTTGAGCTCGTCGCACTGTATCATACTATTTTACAGACTCGTTTGAAAATTATTCATTTTTTATACCTTCAGGAATCTTAAACTGATTTCAACTCCTTTCATGGTAGTGAACAAGTCAGCTAACTCAAGTATTGATCTGCCTCGTAAGTAAACTGCAGATAACTGGATATTGTGATTATAGCTAAAATAGGGCAAATCTACCTATTTCCTTTCCAAGTTCTTTCTAACTCTATCCACATATAAGGCAAAATGACTCAAAGCAACAAAGTATTCTGGCATTAAATTGTGAGTTACTAGGGCACTATTTAAGTTAATGACTTTAATATGTAGTTGTAAAAAGTGTTACCAAACTAGGTTCACACTGCAGCTTACATATCAGAGGAGTCTGAATCCCTGGAAAGCAATTTATAGTTCGATCTGAAAAGTCTTTTAGGGCTATTAAATAATAATCACAGGAATTATTTATACTTGGGGAACAGTACAAAATGAGATCATAGCAGGCAGAGATGCATAAAGCATCAGACTGTCTATAAGAAAATTCTTATCAGTAATGGCTATTTAATAAACAAACTGAAACACTTAAGTCTTTAAAGATAGAAATATACTCTCATGTGCCTGAAATGGGCTGAGAAAATTGCTCTTGAATCAACTGAAGGCATGAAACTTTTCTGTATCTTTATATCTTAGAATCTCTACCATGTATCCTACCTTGTCTTTTCTTGGAAACCAGTAGAACACAGTGTAAAATCAACTATTATCAATCTGCTTTTTTCAGATTATAGAATTTTTAGCAGAAAGTTCGGATATAATTTTCACAGAAAATGTGCAACACACTGGTAAATTCACCAAAATTAAAATAGCAAATCACTGTAAAGTTTTAAAATCAGAAAAGGACTCATCAATTATATGTCAATGGGAAAAAATTCTGGTGATAATCTGACCACTGTCACTTTCTAGTTTACTGCAATTTGTTATAAACTGTTTCTGTGATTTAAGAATTTATATAAAGTGATAATCATTGAAAGTTTACAGAAACATGTTTTTATGTCAAGAATACCTATCCAATTTTATAATCACAGAACAACTGTGTATTAAAACAATCTTTTTCAGGGATAATGTCAGAAAAAAATGGTATACAGACATTTTCCAACTGTAAAACAGTTTTAAAACAGTTAAGGAACCAATTCTAGTGTGGAACAGGATGGGTACAATTTATTTAAAAATTTGATTGCATTTATTTTGCAAAAAGCTTCAAATTGTACTTTATAAGATAAACTGAGAGCTTCTCATTTTTGTTGTTTTATAGTGCTTTTAAAATACATTTATTTAAGAACATAATCACATTCATATATTCAACTAATCTTAACAGCACATAGTATGTGCTACACCAGTGATGTGAATGAATGGTGAATATCTGTGTGTAGGGTACAGGGTGCAGACTGAAGTGTCTGAGGTGACAGCATGTGAGTCAAAATGTGAGAGAAAAAAAGTAGCCCATATTAAGAGTGTGGGAAATTAAAGAAAGGTTTTTGATTACTTGATCTCATGTATATAAACAGCTAGTATGTCCACAGGCTAAAGTTACCACTTTCTTTTTAATTGTAGCAAACTTTCCAGTAAATGCAGATTATAACCACAGGCATCTGTTACCCATAAAACCCATCCAATTATCAAAATATTATGCCTCAAATGATAATTTTAATTTAAATGTACCTAAACATTTATCAAGTTTTATAAAAATGTAAGTGAACTGCAAATTACTATGAAGTCTAAATGGAGTAAAAAATATTCCTATATAAAAGAATAATGAAAAGAATAATACGCAAACTGTCACATAATGAGTCAGTATGATGACATAACTTCCCAACTTAGAGAAAAAAAGTTATAGGGTTACAATGACTAAAGGAAAAATGAATGAAAAAGTCCTACATTTACAGACTTAATTATATATTTTGTTTTCAACAAGTCCCAGTCTTACCTCAAAATATAATTATCAATTGATATTCAAAATGCTAGATAACAGAAATGCATTTAAAATTTTCAATTTAAAAATAGTCAGTAAAAGTGAAAGTACACATGAGTCAAACACTGATGCCCATGCCCCCAGATGGCACAGGGTAGAGTAGGTCTGCTCTAAAGGAAGCAGCTCTGTTTCTGGTCCTTCCTATCAGTGTAACAGCCTTGGGGGCTCTTCACTGTAGTTACAGCTTTCCTGATGCTGCCCAAATCTGTTTTCAGCCCACACCTCTTTCTTGACACAGATACTTCTGTCCAACTTTCTACTGAATATATTAGATGTTCCAAAGGCATCTCCAATCAAGCAGGTCCAAACAGGTAAACTCATACTTTGTATTACCTGCCTCCCCCACCCCCCTGTCCAAAAAAAAAAACCCCTGCACTTTGTCCAGTGAATGATCACCATCCTCCCCACTGCCCAATCCAGAAACCTGGGAACTCTGTAATTCCTGCCTCGTGCTTTTCATCGAGTCAGTCACCAAGTCCTGGGATTCTACTTTACCTTCCTTGTGCTCCTTCTGCTGTCTTACGTACCATGTCTTAATCATTTCTTCCCCACACTGCAGTGAGTGAAAGTCGCTCAGTCATGTCCAACTCTTTGCAGCCCGCCAGCTCCTCCATCCATGGGATTCTCCAGGCAAGAACCCTGGAGTGGGTAGCCGTGCCTTTCTCCAGGGCATCTTCCCAACCCAGGGACTGAACCTGGGCTTCCTGCATTGCAGGCAGATTCTTTACTATTTGAGCCCTAGGGAAGCCCTCCCTATACCGCAAACTGTCACATAATGAGTTAGTACGATGACATAACTTCCCAACTAAGAGCTGGTCTCTGATTCCCCCACACTCCTCACGTAAAAAGCACCCAGGTTCACTACTAATTTACAAGTGCTCTTACTCACTCCCCCTGCCTGCTGACATGTCACACCCTCACGTACAATGCCAAGAGCTGGAGTTAAAAAAATGCCACTCGGTACCTAGGAAGGGCAGCTGTGACAGTGGCTTTTACCATGGCGATGCTGCTACTAGGGGACAGGAAACAAAGCCCAGGGCCTCATCCAGACCGTCTAGGAGAACACGCTCACAAAGCTGGGATCCTCTCAGCAGCTACACCCCAAGCAGTGACGTGCAAGCAAACTTGCCCATCTCAACACTGAAATCATATGCTGCTTCCACACAAGACTGCAGCCTAAATCTGCAATACCCAGATGGTCCACAGAAACCGTAAACCAAGACAAATGACTCGGTTTTTCCCAACACCTAAACTGCAGTGGGATAAAAAGATGAGAGGAAGAGAGATGAAAAGAAATCTATCAATTAGTTGAAATTACTTAGATGCCAATTCTAACAAACTAAAAAGAAAGAGACAATAGGGAAATCTGAACAGTGGCTATTTGATGATATCAAGGAATTATTAATTTAAAGGCACAATAATGGTATGGTGGTCTTTCAGATACATATAGAAATATTTATAGATAAAAAAATATATATATCTGGTATTTGCATAAAAATAATCTGGGAGGGAGGCAGTGAATGAGGCTATATGTGAAGTAAGTCTGGCCCTGAACTGATCATGGCTGCACTTGGGGGACAAAAACATGTGGGTTCACTATACCACTGTCTTTATAGATGCTAAAATCTTCAAAATTAAAAAGTTTAAAGAGACTGTCCTATACACACAAAGATTTCCAGTTTCAGCTGAGAATTGGTAAAAACATAGCTCTCACTGTTTCAACAAGAAAAAAGCTGGACACCTTGCAAATTAATAATTTTTCTTGAACTAATGAGAGAAACAAGGTCACAGAGCAAACAACTAGCCTGAACTTCAGGGTGAGTAGGCGCCCGCAGGGAGAAACAGGACCAGAGCAAGTGCTTACCTGTGATGGAAGCTGCTGAATGGCACACAAGCTGGTAAGCTTCTGCTAGACATCTTCAGCTAATTGCTAAGACTGAGTGTAGACTTGTGTAGGTGTATGAAGCCTCTGAGACTTGGGGAGTCTGTACCTGCTTGCCAGCCTTTTCCTCTAGGAACCACACCAAAAGCTCTCAGGGAGGAGCTCTGAAAGAGCCCCTTTCTCGTGTTTCTTTGACACGGCTAGGAGAGGGGAACAGCAACCACTACAGAAATTATTCCCAACCCATTTTCTCTTTCTCTCAGTCACAGGGGGAAATTCACTTCACTTTGCCATTAACAACTATGGTAGTGACAGCCCATCACCTCTGCCACATGCCATGGGTTAGAAGCAAGTTACAGGTCTTGCCTACACGCAAGAAGAGGGGATTGTTTAAAGGCAGGCATCACTGTGGGGCTCAGCATTCTGCCTACTATCACGGGTCAAACAGAAAGCACACAACATAATAAGAAGGAAGAAATAAAAATATATGAAGCACATCACTTTAAAGAACACAAATTATCAGTGAATAATCTGACCCACCTAGACTATTAGGATTAAAAAATGGAGGAAGATATACAAAGAAATACCAATGAAATGAAGGCTAGTTTAACTATATTACTATCAGAAAACACTTCAATATTAACATTGAAAGCATCAAGGTAAATAAATTCAAAGCACAGCGACAGCAGGTCTGATTGACCAAGAAAATATATCATCAAGTCTCTATGCAGGCTCCCCTGGTGGCTCAGTGGTACAGAACCTGCCTGCCAATGCAGAAGACACGGGTTCGATCCCTGGGCTGGGAAGATGCCCTGGATGAGGAAATGGCAACCCGCTCCAGTGTTCTTCCCTGGGAAACGCCATGGAGAGAACGAGCCTGCTGGGCTACAGTCTATGGTTCTGCGAGAGTCTGACATGACTTAGCAACTGAACAAGAACAAGTCTGTCTGTATGTAATTATACAGACTGAAAATACATAAAACAAAAATTGCTAGTGCTAATTTTTTGAGAAATACCTAAATACATAATCATAACAGACTAATCAGACCAAAAAAAAATAAGATTTGAACATCTAAAGTATATAAACTTAATCTAATAAATATACTATATATTAAACACTGCACAGAGCTATAAAACATATTTTCTTTTCAAACACATAATGATAGTGCATTAAAAAAAAAAAACCTCTCCACCTATTGGGACATAAAACAAGTCTCAACAGATTTCAAGAAATGAGTATCACACAGATGTTCCGTGATCAACATATAATTAGGCTAGCAATCTGTAGCAAAGAGAAAACCAGGAGAAAAAACAGACATAGAGATTAAGGAATACTTCTAAAAGACAACGAGTTAAAGAAAAAATTATAATGGAAACTATAAAATGCTTTGAATTAAACTGCAATAAAAATACCACATATCAAAACTTGAGGAGTGCAGCTGAAGTAGTACTTGGAGAAAAACACACAGCCTTAAAATGTTTACACTATAAAAGTGAGGCTGAAAATAAGCTGAACAAATGCAGAAAAATACTGCAACATAAACTCAATGAAAGCCAAGAGGAGAAGAAGGATAAGCATTTACATTACTGAACTAGAAAGCAAATTATCAAAGGATCAACAGAGTTAAAAATATGCCCTTAAAAAGGTTAATAATACTGACAAATCTCTGGTGAGAATAATAAAGAAAGGAAGAAAGAAGGCATAAATAAGCAATATTAAGATAACAAGAAGTAATACATATTTGAGAGATTATGATGATTTAAGAGATTATGAACAAGACTACGCCAAGAATTTGAAAAGTTAGATGAAATGGACAACTTTCTCCATATGTACAACTTATGAAAATAGTTCTATGATGATTTCAAAAATTGCATCAGTCAAAAAATCTCACAAAGAAAACTCTAAGCCCAAATAATTTTAATGTTGGAATCCATCAAATTCAAGGAACAAATTAATTACAAACTTACATAAACTACTCTAGAGCATGGAAAAAGAGGAAGTAGCACCCAGTTTATTTTAGGAGGCTAGCAAAACCTGACACAGTAGAAAAAGGGAAAATGACAGGTCAGTATCAATAATGGACACAGATGCTAAAATCCTAAACAAAATGCTAGCAACTGTATTTAGTAATGTGTTAAAAAAGGTAATATATCATGACAAAGCTGTATTTATACTAGGGATGCAAAATTGATTTAACATTAGAAACTCAATTTTAATTCACTATATTTGAAATACATTAAAAAGAAAAACTGTACCATCATTTCAAAAAATGCAGAAAAAGCATCTGATAAAATTAACATATATTCATGAGAAAGGAAGAAAATTCTCTAAGCAGTGAGGAACTGAAAAGAGCTTCCTTAATCAGATGATAAAGGGTATCCCAAAAAACCTAAAGCAGTGGTCAGCAAACTATACCCCCTACAGATCAAATCTGGCCCACCATCTTTTTCTGTGAATAAAGGTTTACTGAACAAAGCAACATCCACTCATTCCAGTACTGTCTACAGCTGCTTTCTAGGGGCACAACAGTTGCCACAGAGACTGTGGCCTGGAAAGCCTAAACTATTTACTATCTGACTGTTCACAGGAAAGGTTACCAATTCTGACCTATAGTAAACATTATCAAAAACTCAGGTTGTACCATCAGTGAAGTATCTTAGAACATTTACTTTGAAAAGGTAAAAATACTATCTTACCTTTTGTAGAGTGTTAAGTAAGGATTTGCAATGACTTTTAGAATGCACTGTAATCTTAGTAAATTTCAACTCCCTTCCACACCTTGCTAATTCCTTTTTGAGTTTCTCTCTTCGTTGTTGGTCTGCATCTGAGGGGAAAAAATTCTTTTGAAATACAGAGTAAAATAGAAAAATTAATTTTTTGATGATTGAAAACTAAGAAAGAGTACTTTTTTTTCTTGCTAAAAATGTCTACACTACTGATATGTAAATAAAAATCCACATGGTTTTCTGAAACTTCAAATGGATTAACTATTTAAAGAGCACAAACAAGATATGACAAACTGATTAAGCCTAAGGGCTCAAGGGAACAACTGCTAGAAGATATAGAGATACAAAGGTTAGAAATGCAGAGTTTGAATTAATTCATATACTCCCCTACAAATGAAATATTATTGTCAATACCATCATATGCTATAAAAGTTTAAGTTTTATATGACAAAAAATGACATTAAATTTTAAAATATTATTTTTAATTAGGATAACTGACTTCCATTTTTCTTAACTGCTATTCATTTGAAAATACAAACCAAAAAAGTGGTTTCACATTTTAGTGTGCTTTAAGTCAGGTACTGAGTCATTTTCAAAGACTGAAAACAGCAAAATGAAAGCCAGTCCAGTTTCAGAATTAAAAAGAAGGCGCGGGACCTTCTTGGTGGCACCGTGGATAATGATCAGCCTGCCAGTACAGGGGACGTGGGCTCGAGCCCTGGTCCGGAAGGATTCCATCACAGAGCTACTGAGCCTGTGCTCTAGAGCCCGCAAGCTGTAACTACTGAGCCCGTGAGCCACACCCACTGAAGCCCACGGGCTTAGAGCCTGGGATCTACAAGAGAAGCCTGCGCTCAGCAACGAAGAGTAGCCTCTGTTCGCTGCAACTAAAGAAAGTCTGCACAAAGCAATGAAGACCCAGTGCAGCCAAAAATAAAAAATTTAAGAAGGCTAACCATAAATTAAATGACTTGTATTTTCATGTAAAATTTTAAATTTAACATATGCTTTTTAATTGGAATGTATCTCAACTTGATGGGCAAGATAATTTCAAGTTTCAAATGACCCCGATTTGGGGGAAAAAATGGGACAAAACATCTGAAAAGAACTTTACTAAAGATACATTTAATACAAATGGCCAATAAGCATATAAAAATGCTCTACATCATTAATCATGAGGAAAATGCAATTAAAATCACGATACCACTTCACACTCATTAAAATGGCTATTAATCAAAAGAGGAGTCAATAATGTGTTAGCAAGGATATGGAGTAACTGAAATCCTAATATGTCGTAGGCAAGAATGTAAAATGGTATGGTCACTTCAGAAAACGGTTTGGGAATCTCCTAAAAAGTTAAATGTAATGTTATGAGATGAGCTAGCAATTCCATTCTCAGGTGTATACTCAAGAGAAATGAAACTTTATGTCCATACAGAAAGACTTGTGCACGAATGTTCACAGCAGCACTATTCATCATGGTCAAAAGACGAGCAGCGAAAGTGCCAACCAACTGAGAAATACACGTGCGGGGAAAGAGAACAGATTAGTGGCTTTCAAGGCTGGGAGTGGAATGAGGAAGCAGCTGCAAAGCTACCACTTTGGGGATCTTCTTAAGATGATGAAAATATTCTAAAACTGGTTTGTAGTGATGACTGCACAATTCTGTAAATTTAGTAAAAATCCATGAATTCTATGGTATGAAAATTATTTGTCAATAAAACTGCTATAAAAGGTAAAGCCTTTCTTGGAACTCCCCTGGTGGCCCAATGGTTAAGATTCCACCCGCCGAGGCAGACGACACGGGTTCAGTCTCCGGCCCAGGACGGTTCCACACGCAGCGGGGCAGCTGAGCCCACGCCCCACGGCGACAGCCCTCCTCCAGAGCCTGCGCTCACAGCAGGAGAAAGCACAGTGAAGGCGAGCCCGAGCACCCAGCTAAGGGCAGCCTCTGCTCACTGCACCTGGAGAAAGCCCACGCACAGCCACGAAGACCCTGCACAGCCAAAACTAGAGACATAAAAAGGAAAGCCTTTCTTTCTAATGCATTAGAATATGGAGTTACTTAAACAATTCAACAAAATATAGAGATATCCTAGTTCAGAAATGACTGAAATTATCAATTCAGTTGTCTGCTTTGACAGAAGACTATAAAAACAGAGATGATTCAAGGCCAGAGATTTATTTCTTTTTGAAAATATGTCTATAAAGCCTGTTTCTAAGAAAGTTCGTATTGCTTAGAATGTACATCAGCTATGTTACACACAAAGTAATGATTATTAACGATACTTCAATGTGGTGATGATAATCTTTGCAGTTCTTCTAGACATCACAATTTTTTTAATTTACATGACCATAAAGAAAAACTCCTGTCTCAACTGACTGAAGGCAGAAAGTATCATGGGATAAATAAGCAATAAGTCTAAATTCTAAAAACAAAAAATAGGAGCAATTCTGTAAGTATAACATATATGCTGTCAACTTCTGAATTCTTATCTCCACCCTGAAACCTCCTCTTGAGCTCCAGGCTTTGTATTCCAACTGCCTCCTCAGCATCTCCACTTGGATTTCTAATAGGTATTTATTTTTAACTTATAATGACCAAGATTGAATTCTTGATTCACTTCCTCCCCTAAATACTTTCCTATTATATTTCCAACATCAGTAAATTATAACTCTTGTCTTTTTAGCATTGGGAGTCATCTCTGACTCACTCCTGTTTTTCTCTCATATTCTATCAACATCCAATTCATCAGGAAATACTGTTGACAGACATCTGAAAAGTTTCCAGAATCAAGCCATTTCATACTCCCTCTACTTATAAGCACAGTTAGTATCCTATGGACAGAGAAGCCTAGTGGGTTACGGTCCCTGGGGGTCACAAAAAGTTGGACAGGACTGAGTGATTGAGCTTGTACACACACACCCCACAACCCCCCTCGACTTACAAGCACTTTGATCCAAGTCACCAGTACTTCTCATTGATTTATTGTTTCCCAACTGTCATTCTGCTTTTACCATTGCCCCTTGTAGACTATTCTCAACTTACCAGCCAGAGAAATACTTTTAAAGTTAAACTGGCCAGTCCTCTTCCTCTACTCAAGACCTTCTAACGGCTTCCAATGTCATTTACAGTGAAAGCCCAAGCACTTGCAAACGGCCAAACCCTGGTGGTCTGCATCTCTCTGACCTATCTAAATGACCTCATCACCTGTCACTCTTCAGCTGGTTTATTTCACACCAGCTACACAGCTCTTCTTGCTGTTGCCCTGGATACACCGATCACAACAAATCTGGCAGAGTTTCAGTTCTGCCAAGACGAAAAGAACTCTGGAAATGGACAGTGGTTATGGCTGCACCACAAGAAGAATGCACTTAACATCACTGAATTGTAGACTTAAAAATCGTTAAGAAGGTAAATTTTAAGCTGTGTGCGCAATTTACCATAATTTTTTTTTTAAAAAGGTGGTTATGTTAAAAATTACTTACATTTGATGCTGGCACTCATGCTTAGTGGAACTGAGCAGTCTACTGCAGCTGAAAGAGAGAAGTCAGTTGTTTTAATACTATTCTTAATATTTATAAATGACAATAACTATGAAAAGTGAAAATCATAAGAAGTTCCAAAACTTGAAGTTCCTTGTTTTGATATTTTCTAGAGATGAAAAATATCCTTGATAAAAAACACACTGGTTGGGATTAACAGCTCACTGGATACTGCAGAAGGAAACATTAGTGAATTTGAAAACACAGCAAAGTAAACTCTTCAAAATGAAAGAGTGAACATCGGAAAACGAATGTATTGAGCATCACTGACTTCACCTACCTGTATCATTCACTTAACATAGTAACTGGAGTCCCAAAACAATCTTGAGGAAAAGAAGCAAAATGAGAGCAGCGACATCATCTGATTTCAAGACTCACTGTAATGTTATAGCGACCATGGCAGTGTGGTGTTGTAACAGACATACAGATCAACAGAACTGAAGAGTAAGTCTAGAAATAGACCCTTGCATATGGTCAATTATCTTTTAAAAAGTGCCAAGGCAGTTCCATGAGGAAAGGACAATCTCTTCAACAAAAGGCACTTATTTTTAGGCATAAAAACTGATCCTTATATAATACCCCACGCAAAGACTAATTCAAAATGGATTATAAACTTAATGTAGGAGCTAAAACTTAACCAAATTTTAAAAACTTTAGTTCTTCAAATGATAAAATAAAAAATTCTGTAAAAGACATGGGTGAAAAACTAGTGAAATTCAAATAAGGTCTACAGTTAATAGTATGCTGTCAATATTAATTTTCTGGTTTTAATAATTATACTATAGCTATATAAGATCTTCATATCAGAGAAAGTGAAGTGAAGGGTTTCTGTGACATCTTGTACTATTTTTGCAACTTTTCTATTAAGTCTAAAGTTATTTCATAATAAAAACTTAAATAAAGAAAATGAATTGACAAATCACAGACTGGGAGAAAACATTTGCAAAACATGTATCTGACACAGGACTGTATTTATATAAAGAGGACTCTCACAACTTAATACTAAGAAGACAAGCAACCCATTTTCTAAAAAATGGCAAGAGTTAATAGATATTTCACCAAAGACGACACACAGATGGGAAATAAGAGTAAGACAAGTTGCTCAATGAAAGGGACCCCCTCGTGCCCTGCTGGTGGGACTGTAAGCTAGTGCAGTCACTACGGAAAACAGTGAGGAGGCGCCTCAGAGAGTTAAAAACAGAACTGCCATATGAGTCAGTAACTCCACTTCTGAGAATTTACCTGAAGGAAATTAAAACACTAATTTGGAAAGCTATATGCTCATGTTCACTGCAGCACTGTTTGCAATAGCCAAGATATCAAAGCAATCTAAGTATCTTTTGACAGATGAATGAAAAAACAAGGTGTGGTATATATACACAATGGAACATTACTTGGCTACAAAAAATGAAATCTTGTGTTTTGCTACAAAATGAATGGACCTAGAGGGTATTATTGGAAGTGAAAGAAGCTGGACAAAAAAGACAAATACAGTATGATCTCATTTATATGTGGAATCTGAAAAACAAACAAAATGAAAAGATTCAGATACAGAGAGTAAATGAGGTTGGCAAAAAAGAGGAAGCTGAGAATGTGGGGCAAAATAAGTGAAGGGGATTAAAAAGTACAAGCCTCCTTCTATGAAATAAGTAAGCTGCAAATAAGTAATATATAGCATAAGGGAAAGGGTCAATAAAACAGTAACTAACTTTTTATGGGGACAGATGGTTGGTAAACTTACCTTGCTGATCATTTCAGAGCATAAGCAAATGTCAAATCACTATGCAGTACATCTGAAACTAACATAATATTGTATATCAACTATACTTCAACTTAAAAAAAAAGGAAAAGGACCAAGGAGAAGTTTTTGGTGAAATGATGAAATGGTCTGTACCAGGAGTCATGAACATGCTCTGTAAAAGGACAGACAGTAAATTCTTCAGGCTTTGCAGGATCACAGAGCCTCATCACAACTAGTCAACTCTGCCTTTTAGTACAAAGCCACTATAGACAATACGTAAAAGAATGAATGGGTTAGAAAAGAACAGATCATAAATTACTGTCTAATCACAGTATTAAGATCAGCATCTAATCACAAAAATATATTAGGAATAACACAGGTAAAACGAAACAACAGAGACATTATATTCAAACACAGTTAGTAAATGGCATTCCGAATTTGCTAGGTGTATAGAATCTGTAGTTGGTACTTTACTACACCAAGCACAAACCCACTGGTACATAATGTATTCATTTTCACTACACATTAACACAAATTAGAAGTGAAGCTGGAAAGGGTTTAAACTGGGTAGAGAAAGTAACATTTGCACATGTTTACCTTTGGCTGAAAGGATTTTATTATAGTGAACAGCCATGTGATTCTTGACCAGTTGGAGGGTACTTAGTCTGAGAGAGGAGGAGTCAGTGCAAAAAGCTAAAAATTAAAACACATTTAATCATTATATACTTAAAATGAATTTAAAAATCATCATGAGATAAACAAGTTATTCATTAAGTACATTTTTACAAAATGTTCTGAACTGTAACCATGGAGATACTGGCATTGTATCTGTGATGCTGAGTGTGTCCTAGCCGTCATCCTGCAATGATACCTGACGAGATACTGACTACTCTGGGTTCTAACCTTCTCAAGTTTTCCAAGCCTGAGAGTTTTGGGGAGACTGTGGAGGATGATCTACCATTACATTTACAAAACTATTTCTTACTGACAGCTCTCAACCTCATAACTAAAAACGCTTAGCTGCCTGCCTGATAATAAAATAATGGTATCATGGTTAACATTTGAATACACTGGTCTGGGAAATCAAACAAATCCTACAGGTGAAGATTCTATTCTGAGATGAAAATTTCTAATTTTATACCTGAAAACAAGACCTACAAATTAGTTTACTGCATTCTTTTGAAGTATTAGGACAACTTTAAGACAAGAACAATCACAAAGAAATTAGATGACATTAAACTTCTTGACCTCATCTAAACTCTTAAAAGAAATCTTAGAATTAAGCATGCATATACAAGTATAAACATATAAAATATAAACATAAACACAGGCATAACTTTTTAAAATATTAAACAGTTTCTGAGAATAATACACGCATGTAGTTTAAAAAAATCACAGCTAAAATGGCACAGACACTGAAAAGTAGTGAATTTCCTGCTCTGACCCTAAGTGTTCTCTCCCAGAAGTAAACTTTGCTACTTCTTTAATGCATATGTCTAAGGAAATTCTATGCATAATAAAAGTATATGCAATAATGATAACCTTGACACTGATCCTACAACTACTACTAAAAACATTTATTGGACAGGTACCATGCATGTGTTGTTCTAAGCTCTTTACATGTAATAAGTCATTTAGTCATCATCATCAGATGTGAAAACTGAGGAATAGGGACGTAAAGTCGTCAAGGCCACACAGCTGATAAAGGATGTAGTTTAGATGTGAACCAAAGCAATCTCATACTTACACTCACTGTTCCTATACCAGCTCTGCACACATATTCTTTTAAAAAAAAATTTAGTAAATGACATACTGCTCTTCAGCCTGTTTCTCTATGTAGGTATCTTTTAAAGCTAGTTCAAAATTTTTATTTAAAAATTATTTTTCCAAGTTTATGATTCTGGCTCTATGTGTATATATACTTTATTATCAAGAAATAAATGAGTAATTGAAAATGATTTTTCTTTCCCATGTGTAGGATCAGCATCATATTTTTCCATGTAAATAAGGAAAAAAAGACTTCCAATTATTTTGACCAAAAACCCAGGCTTAAACATTTTAAGCTATAATTATAAAATATTTTAAAATGTACATTAAAATTTAAAGTCCTTAAAATGTGAAAACATCTTAAGATGTTAGATCTTAGACAATATAGATTTAGAGAACATCTTAGAGAAATATAGATTTTCCTTTCAGAGGATCCAGAAATCCCAACTGGATAAAGAGGCCCAACTGGATAAGTGTTTCTGATACAAAATGGACTTTTTAAGTGCTCTCTTTCTCTGCCTGGCTTTTCCTCTTCAGCGCTGTGTCTTCAACCACCTGCTAATCACCAGTTTAACAGGGAAGGCAAGACTTCAGCCAGGGCAGTCTGCCAGCAACAGAAGAGCTGGACTGGAGCTGCTGCCGGGGGCAGGAGGCGACCAGGGCCCCGTCTAGGGCGGGATGGACTCCCACACTCTCTCGTCGCAGGAACTCCTGCAGTATTCAACTCTAAGTGGTAGTGTGAGGAGGCGGAAACAGCAGCCCACCCCCGTACCCTTCCCTGGGGCACCCCACGGACAGAGGAGCCCGTGGGCGACGGTCCACGGGGCAGTGAAGGGCAGCGCGCGAGCGGGCACGGCAGAGCGTGAAGCTCAAACACTGACTAAATGAAGCCTCTTCTCACCAAGCTGCGTCATTTACAAATGAGGAAACACTGCTGGTCAGTCTCTTAACCATGTCGTACCATTTTAAGTGCCTCACTTACCGTTACTTTTGGTGCTCAAGTGTCCTTTAAATAGGCATGATGGACCAAATGTGGGAAGGACAGAGGTTGCTCTGACTTTTAACAAAAAAACATGAATTAGGACAGATGAAACACAACTTTCACAAAGACACTACTGAACGCATAAAAAATAATAAGCTTATCTTTACCAAAACTGTTTAAAATTTATTCAGTCAATTCAATTACTAACCAGCAATAATATGTCACATAAAAATCCTGCTGCCATAGACAAAAGGCTTTCTCTTTTAAGAAAATAAGTTATTTTTTAAAAAGTTCTGCCTTGAGACTTAAGTTTCACTGGATAAAATGATAAACACATCAATTATGTTACTTGAGGATGTACTGACTTTATTCTGTAAATCACTGACCTACTGGTTTTTAAATGATTTTGAGATACAATTAATAAGATTTTGAATTTATATATATACATATTAACTATTTTAGTTAATCAAAGGCTGGCCGGTCCCTAAAAATAATTTTAAGAAAGTAATCCTCTCACAGAGTAATTTAGTAACTTATAAAATTATATACTATATTATTATGTAAAAGTACATAAACATATCAGAACTTAATGATTAAAGATGTCTTAAGCTTCATCTAGTCCAATCCACTTACCGTCCTGCTTGGATTCTATCTATACATCTTATATTTAATTTTTTATTTATATTTATTTTATATTTTTATTTATATTTATTTTTTAATTGAAGGATCATTGTTATACAGAATTGTAAACTGCCAAACATTAATAGGAACCAGCCACGGGTACACATGTCCCCTCCCCTCCAGGTTGTCACAGAGCCCTGGTTTGAGTTCCCTGTCATACAGCAAACCCCACTGGCTCTCTATTTCACATATGGTAACGTATGTTTCCACGGTACTCTCTCCATACATCCCACCCTCTCCTTCCTCCCCCCACCAGCCACGTCCTCAAGTCTGTTCTCTATGTCTGTGTCTCCCTGCTGCCCTGCAAATAATTTCATCAGTACCATCTTTTTAGATTCCATATTATGTGCAAAAGTAAACAAAGTTTGTTTTTCTGATTTACTACACTCTGTGTAACAAACTCTAGTTTCATCCACCTCATTAGAACTGACTCAAATGTGTTCCTTTTTATGGCTGAATAATACTCCATTGTATATATATATATATACCACAGCTTCTTTATCCATTCATCTGTCAATGGACATCTAGCTGCTTTCCATGTCCTAGCTATTGTAAATAGTGCTGTAATGAACACTGGGGTATGGAAAACTAATATCTCCCCTAACATCAGTATCTCACCTTTCAGACAAGATGGGCTATCAGAAAACTAGATATATACTTCATCACAAAACAACTTCTGTCCCCCAAAAGTAATTGTGTTTTGAGGGGTAATCTCCAAGATAGGAAGGCTGAGTTACAGTTCAGTTCGGTCACTCAGTCATGTCTGACTCTCTGTGATCCCATGGGCTGCAGCATGCCAGGCCTCCCTGTCCATCACCAACTCCTGGAGTTCACCCAAACCCATGTCCATTGAGTCGGTGATGCCATCCAACCATCTCATGCTCTGTCATCCCCTTCTCCTCCTGCTCTCACTCTTTCTCAGCATCAGGGTCTTTTACAGTGAGTCAGCTCTTTGCATCAGGTGGCCAAAGTATTGGAGTTTCAGCTTCAACATCAGTCCTTTCAATGAACACCCAGGACTGATATCCTTTAGAATGGACTGGTTGGATCTCCTTGCAGTCCAAGGGACTCTCAAGAGTCTTCTCCAACACCACAGTTCAAAAGCATCAATTCTTCAGTGCTCAGCTTTCTTTATAGTCCAACTCTCNTGCCTTTCTTTGGGATTGGGATGAAAACTGACCTTTTCCAGTCCTGTGGCCACTGCTGAGTTTTCCAAATTTGCTGGCATATTGAGTGCAGCACTTTCACAGCATCATCTTCCAGGATTCGAAATAGCTCAACTGGAATTCCATCACCTCCACTAGCTTTGTTTATAGTGATGCTTCCTAAGGCCCACTTGACTTCAGATTCCAGATGTCTGGCTCTAGGTGAGTGATCATACCATCGTGATTATCTGCATTGTGAAGATCTTTTTTGTACACAGAGTTTAATGGAATTCAACAAGCAAAATATAGTGTATCCCAAGACATGTTTTAAATGGGTAAATGGCCAGTCTGCTTTATAAGCTATAAAGGTGTGGGGAAGAAACAGTCAAAGCCTGAAAGAAAGATGGATGTCTGAAAACAAAAACAGGTATCTAGACAGCAGAACTAAAATCCAGGATGCTAGAACAAATCTTGCTAGAACAGAGTAAAACAAACAAACAAAAAAAACCACCTGAAATAAGAATATAAAAGAAGCTCTGTCTATATTGTAAGTCAGAGAGCAAGAAGGAAAAACATTAACTTATTTAGGATGAGAGAAGTCAAGGTGGTAACACTTGAGTTGGTAGTAAAGAGTCCTGAAGGAGTATACAGAAATATACAAGAAGAAAACTAACCACCAAACTCAAACAAATCTTATTTCTCCAGAGGAAAAAACTGCTGACTTTTTGCCTGCCCAGAATCCAGCGCCCCTTTGAGGAAAACAGGATCTCAACCTGCTTGAGGAACCACTCCTCCCCTCTCTTAGCCTAGTTGGTTCAAGAGGATCCCACTGTTGGAGGTGGGCATATCATCCCAAACTGGCCAGTTATGTTGACTAAATCAGCAAGGACTGTGTGACCCAAGTCCAGACAATGAGACACAGTCCTGGGACTTTCACTGGAACTATTAGGAAATCCCCAGAACATAAACAGGCCTGATACTACATAATGGTAACCTGTCTGAGAAGGGAACTTACACAGAGGTAAGTGGAACCAAGACCAAGGAAGATCCCTGGTAACACTGCTTGAGCACTGGGATATAAGCATGTTTGAAGCTCTACCCTCCCTAGACTTTTCCCCATAGGAGCTCAAAAATTCCCACTTTTGCTTAAATCAATTTGAGTTGGATTTCTTCACTTGTATTCACTTACTGAATACTGCTAAGTGTACCTGGCAATGTTTCAACCACTCTGTAGCTAGAAACTCACTTAATCCTTAAAACAATCCTATGAGATTGGTACTATCATTATTCACACTGTATAAGTGAAAGAAAGTGAAAATGAAGTCGCTCAGTCATGTCCAACTCTTTGCGACCCCATGGACTGTAGCCTAACAGGCTTCTCCGTCCATGGGATTTTCCAGGCAAGAATGCTGGAGTGGGTTACCATTTCCTTCTCCAGGAGATCTTCCCGACCCAGGGACTGAACCAGGGTTTCCCGCATTGCAGGCAGACGCTTCACTGTCTGAGCCACCAGGGAAGTCAGTCCACTGTATAGCTGAAGCACAAAGAGGTAAGGCATGTCATTTGCCCAAGACCTCAGCAGTCTGGCTCCTGAGTCTTAACCATTACACTGTCCTGATCAATATAAATTGCTCAGTACTCAAATCATGCTCCATGCTACTATTATATCATATGAAACAGGCTAAGAAGTATGTAGTTTATTCCCTGTATGCAGTTTCTTCCTTCCAAGTTCCTTCCTAATGAATGTGTGTTTCCCTACAGTTCACAGAAAAAGAAAAAGCAGGTCTATACAGAGAAGTTAGAGAGCACAACGTCAAAGACAATAAATGACAAAAGATAAATAACTTTAGATGTCTTAGTACCTTGAGCTCTTAAAGTCATCAAAGGTAATGAAATGTAATCAATTTAAAAAGTGCAATTTTGTTGTTTAGTCGCTAAATTATGTCCAACTCTTTGCGACCCCATGGACTGCAGCATGTCAGGCTTTTCTGTCCCTCACCATCTCTTGGAGCTTGTTCAAACTCATGTCCATTGAGTCAGTGATGCCATCCAACCATCTCATCCGCTGTTGCCCCCTTCTCCTTTTGCTTTCCTTCCTTCCCAGCATCAGGGTCTTTTCCACTGAGCCAGCTCTTCACATCAGGTGGCCAAAGTATTGGAACTTCAGCATCAGTCCTTCCAATAATATTCGGGGTTGATTTCCTTTAGGATTGATTGGTTTGATTCCCTTGCAGACCGAGGGACTCTCAAGAGTCTTCTCCAGCACCCCAACTTGAAAGCATTAATTCTTCAGCACTCAACCATCTTTATGGTCCAATTCTCACATCCATACATGACTACATAGCTTTGACTATATGTACCCTTGTTGACAAAATGATGTCTCTGCTTTTTAATACACCGCCTAGCTTTGTCTCTTCCAAGGAGCAGGCATCTTTTAACTTCATGACTGCAGTCACCATTCACAGTGATTTTGGAACCCAAGAAAAGAAAACTTGTCACTGCTTATACTTTTCCTCCCTTCTATTTGTTATGAAGTGAAGGGACCAGATGCCATGATATCAGTTTTTTGAATGTTGAGTTTTCACTCTCCTCTTTCATCCTCATCAAGAGACTCTTTAGTTTCTCTTCACTTCCTGCCATTACAGTGGTATCATCTGCATATCTGAGGTTGTTGTTATTTCTCCCAGAAATCTTGATTCCAGCTTGTGATTCATCCAGCCTGGCATTTCACATAATATACTCTGCATGTATTTCATGGTCAGAGGAGCCTGGTGGGCTATGTAGTCCATGGGGTTCCAAAGAGCCAGACATGACTGAGTGACTAACACTTTCACTTTCAGCACTACCTGAGAAGCCCCCAAGTGGGATTAGGGCAACTCTAACCATCTCATTTTAACTTTATTACCTCTTTAAGGGTCCTATAGCCAATACCATCAAATTCTGAGGTAGGGAGTTTGGACTTCAAAAACTCTGCATATAAGTTAAATAAGCAGAGTGACCATATACAGCCTTGTCTTACTCCTTTTCCAATTTTAAACCAGTTCATTGTTCCATGTCTGGTTAAGCATTTTAGCTCTAGCTAAATTTACTTATGGTTTTCTATTAACAATTACCCCAGATCTCTGTTGAGTATTACATTTTCCTTAAAAGCTCAATGAAAAGCAATGTTTGACACTATACATTATATAATGTCCTAAAAATGCAGCTAAATTGGGAAGTTATAAAAACAGAAAACTGTTTACTTTTTTTACATTAACCTGATTTTATTTATTTATTTGTTTGTTTATTTTCGGCTGCACTACACAGCATGCGGGATCTTAGTTCCCCAACCAGGGATCGAACTCACACCCCCTGCAGTGAAAGCACAGTCTTAATCACTGGACCACCAGGGGATTCCCATAAACCTGATTTTAAGAACAACCTAATTAACAAATAGACTAAGTCTATGATACTCTAATTTTTACATATGTCCTTTCCCATGCTCCCATTTCTATCATGAGATAGTTTAAGTTGCTCTAAGATTTTGCTTTATCACATCTGGATTGAAAGTTTGTTGTGTTACTTACTGGGACCTTGGCAAGTTATTTATGATCTTCTTAGTTTATTCTCCATGAAATCAATGTACAAGATGTTTTGTGCATGAAAACTCGAGATAATTTCGGAATAGTTTCCAGTATACAGCAAGTGTCATGTTAGCTTCTGTGGTAAAACTTTTGAAAACCATAAACGTATTTTTGTTTGCTTTTTCTGGAACTTAGATGGTAAACTGTCAGAAAATACAGCTTGCTGATCAATGAATAGTTATCTCCTACATTCAGAACAGCACTTATTTTGATCCATGATTACATAATAAAAGCACACTTGTATGCAAAGCAAGACATTGCTAGGAACCATCTGGCAGCTTGGTTTAAAGGTATAATTTAAAATAGATGGGAACACTGAATAGGGAGAAGTCTGAAGACCGCCTTATCTGCCTTGCTCACAAAATGTTTAGATGCAAACTATTTGGGTTGGGTTGACTCCTAGATATTTCAAGTTACGTGGTTCCAACTGTTCCACAGTGACGCCCATTTTAACCCAGAGTATTCAGTCAAGTCCAAGTATACATAGTGAAAATGGATTAGTCCTTTGCTACTGAAACTGTAGCCAGCAACACTACATCATTTGGAAGCTCATCCGAAATGCGTCATCTCAGCCCCTCCGTCAAGACCTGCAGTTTTAACACGATTCCTAGGCAATCAATATTCACTGTGAGGTTGTCGAATTCCTGGGTTACCGGGTAGTTTGGGGGCGGGGCTGGGGGGCGTGGTTACCGTACGGAGGATTTTGTATTTCCTAAGTAACAGTGTGCCAAGAGCTTTGTAGGTATTATCTGCGTTTAATCCCCAAGAGCTCCAAGACATGGGTGTTTTTACCCCCACGTTCGAGATGAAGAGACCGAAGCTCACCCCTAAGTGCAGGGGGCCGGGGCGGGGGTGTAGACTTGATTCGGGGTTCAGGGAAGTCTGACTCCAAAGGCCACATCTGCTTGGTCTGCCTCCGACCCCGACTTGAGGGGGCAGGGCCTCTCGGAGCCGGGGTAACAAACTCTGAGCCAAGGAGCCCACCTGGGGAGCCCGCACGCAGGGCTTCCTCGGCGGCGAGAGGCCTGGACAGCTTGTGGAGGGGTCGGTGGCAACTCTGACGACCAAGCAGGGGCCCGGGAGCGCGCGAGCGCGGCCGCGACGCCGACCCCACACCTGAGGGGGCCGGGCACCCGGCGGGCGTCCGCGACGGCGGCCCTTTACCTCTCCGGCTGGCGTCCATGCTCGGGTCCTCCTGCGGCCACACCGCGGGGACTTGGGGCGTCCCCTTCAGCCCTTCCCGGGGCCGGGCCGGCTCCCCGCTGCAGAGGTTCGGCGAAAGACAGCCGGAGGGCGGGGCGGCGCAGCAGCCGGAGACTGACGCGCGGCGGGCGGCTGAGGGCGGGCCCCGAGGCGCCGGATTGTGACGCCATCGCACAGGGACGCGCCCCGTGGCCCCGCCCCCTGTGGCGCGGAGGCCTGGAGGACGCCGGGGCGAAGCGCGGGCCTGCCGCCCTGCGGCTCTGCTGCCCGTCGGGACTCCGCCCCCAGCACCTGGCAGGCCTTGACGCTGCGGGACGAGCGGGAAGACAGGCCGGCCTCATCGGGCGTCCGTGTCCCCTGGGTCCCGGAACGAATTGTTGGTTGAGCTCAGGGTAACATTTAACCAGCTCCAGATAGTTAGATTTCCAAGCAGTACTTGAACATTTGGATTAGTGAAAATCCTGGGGATGAAAAGCGTCTACATATTATCTTAATTCTTAACCCCAGTAATCACTTTGCATTTCCTTTCTGCTTCCTGAGCTTCCCCCCACCCCCTCCTCTTCCACCAGCACCTTCCGCCTTTTTAAAAATCTTAAGTCCTCAGTTTTCCTTTATGATGGAAGAGAGTTGTAACATGAACGAGGCGTTGAATTATCCGTGGCTTTCCACAATTTGTTTAATTTCGAAGGAGTTACTTTTGAATCCTTGGACGTGAGGATAGACTGGGACCAGGCAGCGTTCTTTAACGTGTCCTTCTCCGCAGCGGGTCTACGGACATTCGGGGCTGGATGCATGATTGTTAGGCTGTCGTATGCAGTGCAGGGTGTTTAGCAGCGAGCCTTGACCTCTGCGCACGGCACGGCAGTAGCAGCCCACCCATTCCACCCCTGATTGTGACAGGAAAGGTTCCCAGCATCTGGAAAGTATCTTGCATATACTAGACCTCCCATAAGCATTTGTTAAATTGGATTAGAACTGAAGCATAAAGGGCAAACACCCCTGGGAGAGGCAACACAGTGACCTGACTCACTCAAGGGTGATGCCAGTTTCCCTTGTGAAAGTAGGCTTTGGGTATCAAAAGTAAATTTTGGCTTCCAAAAGGAAAGGGGCTGCACGATTGAGAGACAGCAAGATGAGGGTTGTGAAGACGACATTGCTCGGTAGCCAACTTCAACTGAAACCATCCTCACTTCATGATTTTTAAGTATTTTGTTCCAGTTCTTTCAAGAAGTGCACGATGGAGTCCTTTTCTTTCCAACCGTAGCAGAGAACATATTATCATGAGTCCCTTTATGATAGTTAATTTAAATACCCTTTGTCTTCACTCTGTGTAAAAAATAGAAAGAAGATCATTTCTGGTTGCTCTTCCCAGAGATAACCCCGATCATGGGTAAATGTATGCAGCTGGCCTGGGTTTATTGTCGAGTTCCCTCCCAGGAACACGCTTCTAATGGGGAATCACCACCAACTGCAGTGTCCTTGGAGCATAGATGTTCCTGAGACCTTTCGTTGAATATTAAAACGTGAATTTCTCATTAAGAAATCATTCCAATGATACATTTTTATTACTGATATCTAGAGGCTTGTCTATCTGTATTTTAGAAGGAAAGCAGTTTTCTCCCTTAATACACTGGTATGTTTACTTTTCTTACTGACTTTCTTCTTTTTGTCTTAGCTTGTCAGCTCAAAACTAAGACTTATGCTTAGCTGCAATATCTATTCATAGCCTATTTTTCTATTTATCTCTTTAATTCCTTATATTATGCAGGTGACTTTTATTCTTCTACTCTTATTTAATGGTTTAATCAAGCCTGTTTTTAACTAGATGAGTTTGAAGCTCTTTGGAAATAGAGATACAAATGAAATAAGCTCTGTATTATTATATACCATAATAAATAGCCTAATACATATACTCTATATGGGCTTCCCAGGTGGAGCTAGCAGTTAAAGAACCCACCTGCCAATGCAGGAGACATAAGAGACTCGAGTTCAATCTCTGGGTTGGGAAGATTCCCTGGAGAAGGAAATGGCAACCAACTCTAGAACTCTTGCCTGGAGAATCCCATGGACAGAGGAACCTGGTGGTCTACAGTCCATAGGGTCACAGACAGATACGACTCAAGGATTTTTTTTTTTTTTCCACTCAAGGATTTTATTCTTCTCTTATTTAATTGTTTCATCAAGCCTATTTTTAATTAGATGAGTTTGAAGCTCTTTGGAAAAAGATGCAAATGAAGTAAGCTATATATTATTACATGCCATAATATATAGCCCAGTGCATATACTATATAGTCTATTGTATTTTATTACTTATTATTTTAAAACATTGTATTATTACATTTACATTTAATCTATATCTTTATAGATTACCATTGCTTTCATAATTTAGAGAATTTATGTTTCTCTGTTTGGTCATGTCCAGTGTTATGAATGAAAATTATCCAGTGAATGAAATGAAGACACCATGAGGTAAAGGCCAAGATAATCTTTTCCCATTCAGTGGCTAATTATAAACGTATTTTCATCTTTAATGTCGCTTAAGGATAAAAATGAAGGACGTTTTTTAGGGTTTTTTTTTTAAGGTGTACCCTTCAGGGCAGAGAAAAGAAATGGAATTAAAAATGATGTTGGTTTTCATTTCAAAAGAAAATCCCCTAGGTTTTGGTGGGAACATTGGAAATTCAAACTATTGACTATTTCTTAACCATTCTCCAATCAAAATACTGTGGCTTATTCATTTATCTAATAAATAGATGAGAAAATGGAACTTTAGAGCTTGGTGGTATTAAATGTTATGAAGTAATGAATTAATTTGCTGTTTGTCACTAGAGGGGGCTTTAGGAAAGTTTTAAACTGTGTCTCTGTGAGGAAGACAGCCAAGCCACAGGAGACAATATTAACCTACAAATCTTACTCAAGGAGTGTAAGGAGTGAAAAGCATTTTGAAATGTGACTCCAAGGTAGAACTTCTCCAATAATAGTGACATGTATACCGAATTCTTTCCTGAGCACAGGAAGAAATTATTGTATTATCTTAAGGCCCTTCATGAATAAAAAAGGTCATCATTGTCAACCTATAACTTGATTTTTCTTAATTTAATTGTTAAAGCTGGAGAGAACAGTGATGACCATAATTCTCAATAAAGCAACATGAGCCTAACAGAAAAAAAAAAAAAGACAAGAAAGGGTGGTAATGGGATAAACTGATCCCAAAAGACCATTTTGAGTTCCCACAGGAAAAAGAACTCTGATATCTGAACACAAACATCATCTTGTCCGTAGAAAATTATCATTGCCCATTGTGTAACACTATACAAGGGTCACTGCACTTTTCATTATGCTCCATTCCACACTTTCATTTTTATTTCTCTTGCAGTTTATGTATTTTTAAAAACATTTTTTAAAAGCTTATTTATTTATTTTATTTTTGGGTGTTCTAGGCCTTTGTTGCTGCGGGCAGCCTCTCATTGTGGGGGGGCGGGGGTGCTGCTCTCTAGCTGCGGTGCACGGTCGTCTCCTTGCGGCGCCTTCTCTTTTTGCAGCCCGTGGGCGCAAGGCGTGGGGGCTTCAGCAGTTGCAGCTCATGGGTTCGAGAACTTGGGCTCAGTAGTTACAGGCATGGACTTGGTTGCTCTGTGGGATGTGGGATCTTCCTAAACGAGGGATTGAACCTGCACTGGCAGGGGGATTCCTAGCCACTGGACCACCAAGGAAGTCCCTTCGTACAGTTTGAAAGAGCACAGGCTTATGACTCTGGGGGGAGCTTAGCTGATTTCTTGCTACTAAGAGAAGAATCACTCATAGAATTGCATGTATTAAGCCCACTAGTAGCTATCATACGTCTCCATGGCTCCCCAGGTGTGATCCTTCAATCTTTTCATCCAATTAAGAGAAAACGTCTCTGTGAACAGAATTTAATCATTCTGTGGTTACTAGGTAGCCTGTCCCTATAGCTTAAGAAGAGCATTTTATCTCTTTTTCCACTGCCAGTCAGTTGCCACAATGCATCGAAGGTGATGCTTGACCTAAAGGTTTGGTTATCTCCACTTAATGCATTCTCTGTTTATAAGTATCTTCACCATTAAAAAGAAAGCAAAGCAAAAAGCATAACTAACATGTTACTTTACCCTGATATAATTTTTTTCACTTAAAAAATTGAGTCTGGAGTTTTAATGATTAGTGAATTTCTGGGAAGTTGCAATAAGACTCCTCTAAGTGTACTGATGAATCACAAATGGCCACATGCAATCAAATAAAAAAAAAAAACCACCCTGAGTTTGTAAGCCACCAATGAAGACCATCCCTTTTTAATGCCCTAAGGGATCTAATCTCC